GTTCTGAGGAAGGGTCACCAGACCCGAAACGTTAACTCTGTTTTCTCCTCCACAGATGCTGCCAGACCTGCTGAGCTTTTCCAGCAACTTTGTTTTTGTTCCTGATTTTAAGATCATCTTTGGTCACGAGTATGCACAATCAAAAACTTCACAGCAACGCTACCAAAGGCATGCGTAGTTCCGGAACAAGGAGTTTCACTATTGGGCAGGAACTGGGAGGGAGGCAAATTCATATTCCTTATTGATGCATTATACAGCTGCACTGGGAAAGATATTGGAGCATCTTTCTACCTGTGGATCACAGACACTCCATTTAATTGGAATCTACAGTCATTATCAAGGCATTTATGTTAAAAATAAATGGCCAATAAACAATTTCAATTTGTATCACCTGAGCCTCTGAATGTTGGAAATGTTTCTTGTCTACCTGGATAGTGTGCAATGTGAATGAAGTATAGAAATCTCAGGGCAGTCCTTCGACACCATGGTCTCCAGCATGCCCATAAAGTGGCAAACCCCATTCAGATAGCCAAAAATGGTTAACTATATTTGCGTGCAATGCTAGGTTCCTGATAACAGGAATGCCTTTACTTAAATTTTCAATTTCCTGGGTATGTACATCGCTGCCACCCCTAATTGCTCTATAAATATTAATGGCAAGTCATTGTCTTAAGTCACTGCTATCCACACGGTGAAGATGTTCCCAAAATGTAGCGACTTCCAGGAATGTAACCCAGTGCCAAAGAAGGAACAATCAGTTATTTCCAAATCAGGATGGTGGATGCCTTGAGTGTGATGCTGCTCCGATGCACCTTTTGTCTTTGTCCTTTGAGTTGGTAGAGGTTGTGTGTTTCCATAAAGCTTTGGTGAGTTACCACTGTGTGTCATGTAAGCAATACATTCAGCAGACATAGTAGTGGAGATTTACACTTATAAACACAGTAAACACAGTAAAATACCCTAGGATTATTCACTGCATACGACTGAATAAATGTGACATGAAGCCACAAAATGGGTATGAGGATTGAAGACCAAAGGCTTTGTTAAAGATACAGATTTAGATATTTTCTAATAAACCTGTTCAGAGATGTTATTACACACCACTGAGCAGGTGGGACTTGAATCCAGGCTCCTAGGCCCGAGGTGGGGAAACTGTCACTGCACAAGAGCTTCGAGGAGATAGATTTAATGAACTGTCTTGAAGTGGAAAAAGGCACTAACAATTAGAAAGAACTTCAGGAAGTAGAACTAAGGCAACTGAAAGCACAACTCCCTAGCTATGAAGTAATTCAATTAAAACAGGCATGGCAGGAACTGAAGGAGTGCAGATAAATATCTCAGAGGGCTGCAGGGGCAAAGGAAGTGACAGAGACACGGTGCAGGAAGACCGTGAGTGAATTTCAAAACTAGGATTAGAATTTTGAAGTTGATGTGATTCTGGACCATGAGCCAATATAGCTCAGCAATTACAAGGCTCACAGGTAAACAGAACAAGATGTGAGTTTAGAACACGGATGAGATCAGTTTTATACAGTGTGGAAGATGAGGGGCCAGGAAGGAAAATTTTGGAATAGTCAAGTCCAGTGATAACAAAAGGTACAAACAGAGGGGTTCCACAACAGACAAACTGAGGCAGAGGCCTAGGCAGACAATGCAGCAGAAATAGAAGCACACAGTCATGCTGTTGGCACAGAAATAGAAAGGGTTGTATATACCTCAATTCACAGTCAGTATGACAGTAAGTACGCAAACAGTTCAGTTCAGCTTCACATCTTTGCGAGGGTGAATGATGGAGTCAGAAGCTACGGAACTGAGTTTGTGATGGGACAAAGACAGAGACTTCAGTCTTGCTAATTTTTAGTTGGAGGAAATTTCTGCTCAGTTGGCACTGGATGTTGGACAAGCTGTCTGACAAATCAGAGGGCGTGAAGTGGCCAAGGGAGGTGCTGATGAGGCAGAACTGGGTGTTGTCTACGTACTTCAGCCACTCAAGGTAAGGGGTGTGGAACAGGAAAAGAAGACATTATTTGATTGTCCACCACTTTTTATGACAGAACGTGGGAGGACTGCAGAACTCACATTAGATCTATTTTTGTGAGATCATTCAGCTCATAATATAATCTGATACATGCCAAACTGTGGAAGTACATGTGGGAGGTTCATTAGACTAGCAAATCATTTTCAAGTGTTAGATGCCATTCCTGAAAAACACTCTACCTATCCTGCCTGAACCATAGTTGGATATCTGCTTTCACAGTCGTTGTAAAGGGAGGGATATGCTGGTTAATGTGATAACTGATTACGACGGCCTATATTTCTGTTCATGTTGCTGGTAGCTGATGGCAGCTCAGGGGTGACCCAGTTCTGAATATGCACAGACCTAGTATCACATGCAAAAATTGAGAGTCACAATCAGTCACAATGCAAAGATGGGAATTTGTCTCTGAAGAGCTGTGTGATGCATACTCCCATCAATACTGTCACAACAAAGACTCATCTGTGACAGGTACTTTGTTGAATATGAATTAAAGCTGGGTATTCACTTGCCACAAACCTGCCAGGTAGCCATTTTTTTTCAAGACTTAAATAACTTGGTCAATGATGCTTCTGACAATATTGAAGTTCATTCCCAGACACATTTGGTGCCCTTCCTGGCCTCAGTGTTTCTTCTAAGTGGTGTTCAACATGGATATTTACTAATTCATCAGCTCAGGATAGGCAAGTGGTGATAACTTGCAGATTTCCTTCACTATGTTCATCCATGAGATATCAGGACTCCAGAGTAATTGTTGAGGACACCTGGTGTCACTCCAAACCGACTGTACAGCACTGTGCCTTCACCTCAGGAACGATGATAAGGGAGACTGGAACACAGTTGAAGGGCCTGATTCTGAAATAATGTCTATATTCAGAGATTGTTTCACTAGTCTACGGGGAAATTCTTCCAATTTTTTTGGTATTCCTTCGTAGGATGTAGGCCTCACTGTCTAGGCTGGGTTACCATTTATTGTCCATATCTAATTGCTTTGAGAAGCAGGTAATGAGCTATCTTCTTTAACTATTGCAGTTCAAGTAGTGTAGGGAGATCCAAAGTGCTGTTGACAAGGGTCTTTCAGGATTTTGACACTGAAAGAACAGAGATACAGTTCCAAGCCAGGGTTTGACTTGGAGAGGAACTTGCAGGTGGTGATGTTCCCATGATCCACTGTCTTTACTCTTCCAGATGGCAGAAGTCATGGGTTTTGTAAGGCACTGTCAAAGCAGTCTGGGTGAATCACCGGAATGCACCTTGTAGATGGTACACACCGCTACCACAGAGCATCCTTGATGGAGGAGATGAATGCTTAAGGCAGTGGAGGGGATACCAATCAAACAAGCTGCTTTGTCCTGAAAGGTGTTGAACTTTTTAACTTATTGTAAAAGGAAGGTGGTTAGACACAGCACTACTTGCAGAAAATAACAGTAGAAGCAGTGTTCATAGACAGAGCTAAGTGACCCCAAAAGCCATCAGATCAGATCTAAACTCTGCAGTGCTACCACATCAAGTTGTGAACATTGGTGGACAATTAAGTACCTAACAGGGGAAGGAGGCTTCACAAACAGTGCATTACTCAGTGAAGCGAGATCCCAGAAAATCAGTGCAAAAGATACGGCTGAGCCATTCGCAAGTATGTTTGGCCACAAGTGCTGAGAGGGATGATCCATCTTAGTCTCGTCCAGATATCCACAGCATCACAGATACCAATCTTGAGCCATTTTGAAACACTTCACGTGTTATGAAGAAACAAGTGAAGGCACTGCATATTATAAAGGAGCAGGAAATCTGACGTTTCGGGTCAGGTCCCTTCTTCAGAAATGGGGGAGGGGGAAGGGAGCTGGGAAATAAATAGAGAGAGGAGGGGTGGGGCTGGGGAAGGTAGGTGGGACGGTGATAGGTGAGTGCCGGTAGGCAGCGGTGGGGATTGGTCAGTGAGGTGGGAGGAGCGGATAGGTGGGAGAGAAGATGGACAGGAGGGTCCCAGAGGGCTGGAAAATCACTAACGTTTAAAAGGGGAGTAAGGCAAAAGACGGAAAACTACAGGCCAATTAGCCTAACTTGGGTCATGGGTAAGATTTTGGAGTCCATTGTAAACGATGAGATTTCTGAATATTTGGAAGTGTATGGTAAAATAGGGCAAAGTCAGCATGGTTTCATCAATGGGAGGTCATGCCTGACAAATCTGCTAGAATTCTTTGAGGAAGTAATGAGCAGGGTAGACCAAGGAGAGCCAATGGATGTTATCTACCTGGACTTCAAGAAGGCCTTTGATAAGGTGCCGCACAGGAGGCTGCTGAGTAAGATAAGGGCCCATGGTGTTAGAGGCAAGGTGCTAGCATGGATAGAAGTTTGG